GATACAACAATAAGCACTAATGATTAGAATGGAAATACTTGTTTGAAATTTTAATTTATTTATCATTACGTTTCTTGATATCGTTTAAAAAATAACAGTAATGGGAAATATGCATCAAGCAAACATTATCTTAGACCACTAATTGTCATTTTTTGAATATAACAGAGATCTCCATTGATTAAAATTAAAATATACCTCTGGTATTCATCCCTGATTTTTTAAAAAGGAAAGCGAAGCCTTTTGGTCATTTGCTCAAATCTATGATTTGTGGGTTAGGTCACATTTGCATGAAAATTTCCATTTATAATTTGATAATTTAACCAAGTATTTGTGACTTGTAAAAGTGACTTAAATAGTTTTTGTGAATTTTACAAACTTTTGTAAATTCTGCAAATTGTTTCGTTTTTTTTTTAGGCTTAGAGTCACTCCGTGGGTGAGAAGTAAATTTATTGAATGGCAATGCTAAAATCCGGAGTTCGATTCCCCGCGGTGTACAAAGTCCAGCTAGTCCATTCTGCAGCTTTGAACTAAGAAAAAAACAACATCAGGCTTGGAATAGGAAATAGATTGGTAACTTATCGTACTGTATGCTTACATTTTGTTAAAGTTATACATACATACACTCAGAACGTTTGATTGATAAAAGCAAATCGACAAAATGTTGAGCTATCTATGTTTTAATCGGTTTTTATGTGATTTGGAAATCGTTTTGGGACATTCCTGCTAAAAGTATTTTTTTCAAATTTCTTTTAATAACTAGAGGACACTCATTAGAGCGCACACCTCCACCAAGCAGCGTTGATCATATTTGTCCCTCAAAAAATACGAAAATGTGTTCGTATATCCGTTGTTATCAACGGACACCAACCGTTTTTGGCAGGACAATGAGGATTAACATTCTAAATATGTCCACCAAGTTTCATCAAATTTCGATATTTTTTCATTGAGTTATCGAGCAAAAATAGTGTAAAAAATCGGTCTCCATGTTAACAGAAAGGGATTTATTTTATTTTCGTGACCTCGACTCTCTAAATAATAAACTCTTCTATGTTTGGTCATAGTCCACGTGTATAATAACTTTTGTCCAAACCTTTCTGACAAACATTCACACAGAGGTGAAAACATAACGAGGTAATTAAGTGGGAAAAAAAACAACTAATTACTACACTATAGTACACTACACTACATTACTACACTATACTACACTACATTACTACACTATACTATACTACACTACATTACTACACTATACTACACTACATTACTACACTATACTACACTACATTACTACACTATACTATACTACACTACACTACATTACTACACTATAGTACACTACACTACATTACTACACTATAGGCCACCATGGTTAGGTAAGTGTAAAACACAACAACAAATAAACACTGAAATATTATACTCTGATAAGCTTTCATTCTTATTTTTGTTCCTTTGTCTAGACAACTGAGAATTTTTACTATTGTGGTTATTTATTATTAGATAATTAAACTTCAAAAAATTAGAGCTAAACAGTCTCTTGCAATTACAGAATCAGTGAGGTTCATGTTATAATGCAGTTCATAGTAATTTATATAATCAACATTCTAAACGTTAGTTATAAGTTTTTAGCAAACGTAAACAGATATCAATTTCTACAAAGATAGAATAACAATTATAACATTTGGATTCGACTATTATTAGCTTTCGCTTCTTTTATTTTTTTATAGGTAAATGGCAATTATTTTTTAGTACTTGCCAGTTATTCTTGGCATTAGCATTGTTTGCTTTTCTCACAGTTTCAAGCGTTAGCGATAAGTTGTGTATCTTCTGAGTAAATATTAATATGATCATTAACTAATATTAGTCGAAGTATTATGTATCATTCCCCCAACATGCTTCCATGTAGATGTATACTGATCATGGTAACGTATATTGTTAGCAAACAATTTCAATATTGTATACTGTTTTTACAGCCTAAAACGTTAACGATGAATTCTGTATATTCCAAGGTAAATATTAATACGATTATTATTTTCAGTTTATTGACATTAGTTAAAATATTAAATATTAGTCCCTAACATGGGTCAACTTTAGATAAAAACAAACCCTTAACTAATCCCAACATAGGGCAGATATACCCTAACAATCATCTCTCAAGCCATGTCAATGAAATGTCCAGAGAACCGAAACTTGATTCGACTCACTGTCAGCTTCGTCAGAGACTCTGTTCATTTTAAATGCAAAATGAACAATCGTAGTGCACGCACGTACGCGAAGGAGGGGGTCGATAGAACTCCCTATTTTTGTGATATAATATTAATGCTAGCATGCTAGCATTAGTCGACAAGCCCAAGGTGCAAATGCAGAATATAGTTCCGTGGAGAATTACCTTAAGAAAACAGTAACCAATGTTTACTTGACCACATTATCAGTAATCTTTTCTCCAGATTTGATGCACATGTAAAGCAAACAGCATCAATTCAGAAAATTATGCCATCAAAACTCTCACAAGAGTTTTCTATCTCTGATATCAGACAAGGCTATCAATTTTGACAGGGAAGATTTGCCAAATCCTGATATTTTTTGATGAAGAACTTTATCGATGGAAGACAAGATGGCTTTCTATACCTCTCCAGGACAGGCCCGAGATACTGGCTGACTGCTTAAAAGCGTGCTTCAGTATACCAAATATCTTTATGTTACTGAAACTCTTTATCACACTGCCATTAAGTTCATGTTCATGTGAACGTTCGACATCTGCTCTCCGTCAGTTGAATAATTACCTGAGGTGTACACAAACCGAAGAAAGACTGAGTGTTCGAGCTTTAATACATAATTATCATAACACTACTATCAACCACTGAAACTGTATGTAAGTTATTTAGGGGAAAGCGTACCAGAAGAATGGAGCATGCTAGCATGTTATTTCAGTAATGCATACTTGTACGTATATGATACCCAATAACTGAAATAGCTAATATATTATTGTTGTACAGAGTTGTTTAAATTCATAATATAATTTAACAATTAATAACTACTCTGCATGTAGATACTGCAGTGCTTTACTGTAATAAAACATACATATTTATGCTAACTTAGGTCTAGCTCCCCATTCAGTGTTACAACAGAATGATGATTTGTTGACTTTTCATTGGATGTTTGTAGATGTTATATGAACAGCCATGTAATTGGTGAAGCTATATTTCATGTAAAAATTGTCACCAGATTTAATCTCATAGCGCCATCCTTTACAAATTTCTGGGGAAATGCCCCAAACCCCCGCAACATTATCATACTTTGCATGCTGATTGTGCTTCGCATAATATGTCTTAGCTTTTGAGTTCACAAATTAGACCCCCCCCCCCTTCAGACATTCTGCTTACGGTCCAGTAGTGTCACACGATGTCGCTGGTCGTTAAATTTTGTATGGTGCAAACCTATTGCCTGGATCATTTCAAGTGTTATACCTGAACTAATAATTGATTTATTTATATGTCAGTCGAGACAAAGTTACATTAATGATATAAGAAAAGATTGTGATAAAACAAAAGTTTCACGATATAAAATATATATCTTGAACTTGGAGATAACAGCTGGTATGTCTCAAGAGACTGAACAAATTAGTGCTAGAGATAAAATATTGAATAAAGATGATCCCACAAGGTCTACAGAATAAAACTTAATAATTCATTGAAAGCTGTTATTAAAAATCTATTGGAACAAAACATTTAATTATATCAATATTTGAGACATGAACATCGACATAGTTACAAATGTCGTGAAGCCCTGTTAATTTTTCAGGATCTGTAGATCGATAATTTACGTTAATATTATATCATAATAAACTTGATAATTACCATTATCTTTACCATTATTTAGTCGTCTTCTATATGGACGATTGTAGTAAGAAGAATGTATAATGGAATTTGAATTGCAGGCTTTGTGTGGTCCGACTTGACCTTTTGCAAAATACCACAGCTCAGACTTAGTGTCAACTGTGTAGACTTATAACTTTGATTCGTAAACTATAATTCATAAAATTAAACAAGAAAATAAAGTATTGAACTATGACACCCACCATTCTTTTATTAAATACAAACACAATTAGGTACAGACGGTGAGGAATTATTAAGGGACAGTATATGGTAGCAAAAAAAAGAAGCTTTGGTAACACTGACAGTTTAGCCACCCAAGTATTATAATAATGTCAGGTCTAGATATTTGTGTAATTATGGCTACTTATATTCGAAGCGTAGTAACAAGAACTGCTTGATATTACTTGTTTCATCAGCTAGGTCATGGTCAACATTTTACGCAAACTGAGCAACGGGCTTCTGAAAAATAGAACGGAGTCTCTTTTGGCAGCTATATTATTTAAGAGCTAGATTCGTTAAAACTTAAGTAACAATACAAGCAGCTGAATCTACGCACTACTTTTACTACTTGTAGAGTTCAGTTCAAATGTGTTTTGCGATAGAATATAGGTTTTAAATTTGGAAATTAAGCACGAAAGGCCTAGACATCGCCGACTCGTGCAGGTACATAATTGTATAACGATGTGCTGCACCAAGTGTAAGACATGAGCAAAACAAATTACGTCATACTAAATGTTATTTAGCTTACATGATTGGTCACTTAACACTGCTTATGTTAATAGTTGTAGTAATAACGGTTCGTAGGCCTGGAATATTTATTCTAACCATAAAAAAGATTTTAAAACACCTTTTTTTTGTCACAACAACATGTGTGTATAAAAAGTCAAAAATACATAATTTGTTTAAATTATTTTGTTATTTTTAGAAATATACGCTCTCATCAAGACGCATTAAATCATGACCACAAGTTAGATAAAGTTAGTTTACTGGACGATGCAGGGTGCCTTTTTTTTTTTGAATAAGAAGCATTCATGCGTTTGGCATCTTAACTTAATACCAAGTTTCACATCAAGTTACGACAATTAATTAATAATTTTCGTAGTTTTTCTAAAATAATAAAACTCTTACCTGGTTAGTAAAGTTCGTCTTTTCATTGGAGTTTATGACTGACGTAGACGTTAAGAAGTCGTTCACGCTTTGCAAAGGAAGTAAAGGAGGTAATTTTCCAGCATCTTTTGCATTCTGTATTAGTCCTTTTCTCTCAAGAGCTTTCTGGCGTTTTACTTGTTTTTTGTAAAAGTCTGCGAAGTTATTGACGATAATGGGAACAGGGAGTCCAATAATCAGTACACCACAGATACAGCAGATACTGCCTACAGCTTTACCTAACGGAGTTTCAGGATACATGTCTCCATAGCCAACAGTTGTCATAGTAATGCATGCCCACCAAAACGTGTTGGGAATACTGGTGTACAGTGTTTTCGGTACATCCTTCTCTGCGAAGTATACAAGACTAGAAAATATCATGATTGCAATCGCAAGGAACAAAATCAAGAGTCCCAGTTCCTTATAACTATTCTGCATTGTATACCCAAAACTTTGTAATCCCGTGGAATGACGGGCTAGCTTTAAGATTCTAAGGATCCTCATCAAACGAAAGAGTTGGATAATTCGCCGAACATCTTCAAACTGCTCCGAGTCATTATCCAGTTTAATCAGCATTAAGGAGACATAGTATGGCAAAATGGCCAATAAGTCTATGATATTCAACGGGCTTTTAAAGAACTTCCATTTCTTTGGTGATGACATAAACCTGAGAACATACTCAAGAGTAAACCAAGAAATACATATAACTTCCACCGTAGCTAGATGGGGATTTTCTTCATATTGACCATTAGCAAGTTTTGTTTGAAGACTGGGGAGGGTGTTCAGCGTCTGTGCAATAGTTGCTAAAATTATGAAGAGGATTGAGAGAGTAGCGACGATCTGAAATAAAGATAAGGTATTAATCTTATAAGAAATCATGATTTCTCTCTTTCTTTTAAAAGGTGGGACCTTACCAAGTTGTTAAACTTTACGTTATTTATGAATACTATGAAATATCTTGAAAATCAAGAGTTGGTATTTCAACATAATAATGAATCTCGAGAAACAATTTTAGGATTACAATGTACTTACCACAGCAAAAAAATAAAATAACATTTTAAAGCCTATCCATCTTTTTTAGTTGTTAAGTGTCGGATCGGACATAGTTTATTGTCTTCAATGTCTTTATTTGCAGGTGCATCACTTTGGTGATTTAGAAATTAAATTGTCGATTTATTTTTCAAATTTGTACCAACAAATCTGAGTTTTGACTTCTCTAAAATGTGTCATTCAAAGAATTTAGCGCAATTTCAATTGTTGTCTATCGTTAAAATCCCCAATAACTGAAAAACGACAACAAACAATCAAATAAGCCATTATTTCAAAATTTTATGCATGAGTAATCTTCAGAATTCCTGGAACACGTTCCATTTGTAACCATAATAATAACTTCAAGGTTACATAGGTCATGCCATAAAATGATAGAAACTTCTCTTAATAATCTGAACAGAAACTTCTAGAACAATTAATCTATATATCTTACAAAGTGTTTGTGAAACGAAATTAGAAGTTTCAAAAGCATATTATATGTTGGAAATAGAATTATAATCAGTTGATGTATTACATCTTTACATCATGCCATTCATTTCAAAAGTATAACTTAGACATGAAAAAATGCACGTGGTTTATTTTGAAATTAATTTATACATTCTTTAGTTGTTAGAACTTACAGAAAAGTCATTTGAGTGAAGATGAACATTGCATTTGTAATGTTAGAAAGGTGTTTACTGGATGTCGTCCATCTTATAAGCAAAAGAATCAATATGCGTTTACAGAGGTGTATATGGGGATTATTGTATGCGGCTCTACCATACGTTAGCTACTCTCTTAGTTACTTTATAATTGTTTTCGAAAGTTCTGTATTTTATTTCAGTTTAGTTTAGACACAGAGTGTCGTATTAGTAAACAGCTTAGCTGTCCTTTCTCTGGTGCACCAGAAACTGGTCATTAGTTGTATTATCTTACACAGAAGACAGATGGTAGTCCATCCGTGAGTTTTCAGATAAACGGCTGTCTTTTCTGTCGGTGATTCAGGTAATGGGCTAGGGCTGCCACGCCCTAGCGCTTGAGTCGCAGTGGACGACGGTCACCTGCGCGATAGGTGCTTTTTGATCAAACAGGCTATTTTTTGCACCAGTGTATTTTTGAACACAAAACTAGTCCCTCGTTTGTTTAGTAGATTTTATAAATTGTCAGATTTAGATTTTCGTAAGGTCTAACCATATCATTCATCTTCTTAGTTCCCTTTTTTTCATTTTATCAGTACAGGGTTGTTTTGTTTTTAATACTTTATTTGAACTTGCGTTCTCCCTTAGCTAACATGGGACTAATAAGAAGAATATATTAAAGGTTGTTTCAGACTGCTCTTACAAGTTCAACGCACTCATTGCAAACACTTTGTTTTCTTTTATTTTGTGGTACTGTAGTTCTTTCTGTCTGTTTTTGTCAATAAAGATTTTTGTTTGACATTTTTATGTATAACTTATTTTCCATCAATTCAGAGAGAAAGACACAAACTCGCACTCTGTGACGTAATATTCTATGAACCTCCAGTAACACACCGTTGCTAACTTCTGTGCAGAAATCTTGTGCGGCGGAAAATACCACATGTATAACAGTCTGCTGTTTACATAAGCCTTTTAGCTGTCGGTACTATGCTACTAGAACAGAAGAAAATAATCTCCCCCTCTTTACTTTATAATAAATAAAATGGATGACTTTAGAGCACTGGTCAAAACAGAGGGTTTTAATGTAATGGGAATAACCGAAACCTGGTTAAGTTAAATTTATATAATTTTGATGACAGGAATGTTTTCGAAATATAGGGTTATAAGTTTTTTAGTAGGGATAGAGCACTTAAAAGAGGGGAGAGGTGGATATGTAAAATTTGAATTACAGCCTGTTCACGTTGAGGATATCAAAGCTAATAGCAATGAGGTTGAATCTTTTTGGGTTTCTGTTAGTGGTTATAAGGGGAATCTGTTAGTAATTACAAGGGGAGAAGACTTTTAGTTGGTCTTTGTTACAACTACCAGATGAAACTGATGAAATTAATGAGAAACTATACAGTAAGATAAAGAATTAAGCTTTGATGAGGTTATAATTATGGGATATTATATTTCTATGTATATAGACTGGGAAATATTAGAGTCTAATCATGAGGGAAACAGGTTTTTAGAAACTGTTCAGGATGGCTTTCTTCACCACTTGGTTAAGAAACCTAATAAGAACTATGCTATTTTAGACTTATTGTTAACTTCTAATACATAATTTCTTAATTGGGCAGAGACTGGAAAACATCTGGGTGCAAGTGATCATTGCTCAATAGGATTGGATGTTTTACTGCATATGGAGATAAGGAATAATGATATTTTTGTTCAAAGTTTCAAAAACTCCAGATAATATATACCCGATGATTTTGAACGGAGTTAGGGATAAAAATTCTTTGAAGAGATTACTGTTTATGTAGATGAAGTTATAGGTGAAAATCTGTTGTAAATATATTTTCAGAAAGCATTTCACAAGGTGCCACCTAAAATTCTTGTTAAAAGTTATCACAGTTTGCTAACTGGACAGTAAACTGGCTGGATGAAAAAAAAAGAGTTGTTATAAATGGAGTTCACTCAAGCTGGATTAATGTCACAAGTAAGGTACCTCAGGGCTCAATGTTAGGACCTTTGCTCTTTTTGATTTACATTAATAACATATATGAAAAAAATGGTCAATAAGTTATTCAAATATGCCGATGGTATCAAAGTTTTTGGTGTTGCTGACTGTGAAGATACTGCTGCTGCTTTACAAATGGATTTGGATTAGTTGGTGAGTTGGGCAAATGAATGGCAGATGGCTTTTAATTATAATAAATGCAAGGCAATGCATGTGGGATATTACAATTTGAATTGTGAGTATAATTTTAATAGGTATAACCTTAACAGTGTTATGGGAGAAAAATATCTTGGTGTTTTGGTTGATCAGTTCCTTAAGCCATCCAGACAATGTGCTGTTGCTAGAGGCAGGGCAAATATGATGTTCGATTGTGTCTACAGAAACATTGAACACAAATTTAATGGCATTATAATATTATTGTATAAGTCATGGGTTAGGCCACATTTGGAGTACTGTGTTCATCTTGGACACCTTGCCTTAGAAAGGATATTGACGCGTTGTAAATGGTTCAGAGGAGCGCTACTAGGATGATACCTGGATGGGAAAGATTGCCATATGAGGACAGATTTCTCTTGAAGTAAAAGTTGGAGGGGATCTGACTGAGGTGTTTAAGATTGCTATGGGAATTTAGAGTGTTGGAGTATTATCTTTTTTTTTTCGTAATTGATGATGTAAGAATGGCAAGACTAGGGGACACAAATATAAATTTTGGTAGGGTTGGAGTAATCTTCAGGTAAAACAGCCTTATCTTTCTAACAGGATATTTGGCCTTTGGAATGGGTTGCCTTCAGATGTATTGGATGCAGCTAATTTATGGGAAGACTTGATATATATATTTGAATGATAATTCACACTTTTTGAAATTCATCTGAAGGCTCTATTTCTTCAGCCAATCCATTACTTTTCTTAGCCCGTCACAAGCATCACAGAAGGTCTTCTCATATGTAATTATATCACATAAGTAGATGAATATGACATTCTAGGTTAGTCCAAAGAGAACACATCATATCAGTCATTCAAATATAACATTACATAATTCACATAGTAACAAATATTTCCACAATCAGTTTCCTGTAGTATAGGCTTCCCTTTCTTGACTTGAATTTGCCAATATTGACTCTTCAGATCCAAAGTGGAAAACCGTTTTGACCTGGATAAAGCATTCAAAATAGAATCAATCCTTTGTAGGGGATAGGCATATTTCTTTATGAATTCATTCCGCTTCCAGTAGTCCACAGCTTGTGGATCATTCCTTTTTCAAAATTACGATTGACAATGCTTAAGGACAAGTATACAGATCAATTACACCGTTTTCTTTCATGGTTGTTATTTTTTTAAAGCCTTAGCCTACTTTGTAATTGGGAGTCATCTAGCCAACTGATGAATTGGAACTTCTCCTACAGTATCAATCTTATGAGGTATTTTATTTGTCTGGCCTAAGTCAAGTATCCCGTGATAAGGAGTAGTTGTAAGACTTTCACCATTCTGGTGAGACAGTTTTTGTAAATGAGTTGACACGCTCCACTTGTATAAAGATTTGATAGCAGACTTCCTACACCTTTCTGAAGTGTCTATTAGTGGGGTTCGATGATGTGTATAGTTTTACATCTTCCAATGTTCAATCCTGAATTAACTCCGACTTTACGTTTTGTTGTATCCATAGCCCTAATAGTAACATCATTATTCTTCAGACCTATGAGAATTCTTTCAAAAAATAATCTTTCAAGACAAGCTGAAATGTTTTGTTCTACCCTGCCTAAGTCAACAGATGTAAAGTTGTTACCAATAAGTGCTGGTATGAGTATTTTACTGCTTGGTAGTATATTAACTGCCATCTCTGTCATCACAGGAAGTTCTTTTGGTGCTGTAATTGTTGTTTTGTGCACAGGGATTTCCTAGTTATAAATTGTGAAACTGTTTTAAGTAAGTATAACTTCACATCCATGTTTATACATAAAGTCTGTTTCCGGTATGCACTTTCCAATACGCACTATTGTCTCAATTTCAACTATTCACACATCTAAAAATATATTGATCAAAAACATAGTCTTAAACAATACTGTTGTAAAGGTTTCTATTGTTGTATGGGATTCTTTTGACACCATATAAACATAAGAAATATAGCTGTAATTTTAGTTTTTAGGCTTATAGAGTTTCTTTTGAATTATTAGGTAAAAACAATTTCACGAACTGATGCTCAACAGTCATTTACTTGCTAATTTTCTTTTATCTCTATTTCTTCATCAAAACTGAAACTCAAAATTCTTGAAATTTTAAGTAACAGACAAACAGAATAACAAATTTTCTAACTCAGTAATCATTCATCCACTGTAACAGACTCACTAATCAATAAAAAATCTCTTCTAGTTTTGCTGAACTTGTGTTTATGTTGTTTATATAGTTTCTTACTTTTTAATGCAAAACGGACAAACTTCCTCTAATCAAAACAATAAAAATGTTTAAATCAAAAATATAGCTTATAACACTGCTCCTTCCTGTATTGTAAATTCCCTTAAAGAACCCTACTACACAAAGTAAACAATTATGAATTGTTCATTAAACTTGAACTTTCATAATCTTGAATAATTGATAAATATAATATTCACAAATATAGCGCTGCAGTCATTAAATCATTAATTGTGTGAAACAAAGTACAACAAAAATTTGATTAATATAACAAGATATTGTTTCTTTCCTTATTTACCATTCCTAAAATACCCAGGTAGTATTTATTTCTATTGTTTATGGTAAGAAGATGGGATGAGCTCTGTTTCTTTATCAACACTTGCTGTCTGGTCATTGGTGGATTTCTCGTTCAGGTAACTGAACGAGAAAATCCAGTGGAAGCTCCATCCCTGATGATATTCTAGAAGTGATCTTTATAGGAGACTTGGTATCTTAAGCAGGATGATTTACCTCTGGTAATGTCTTCTCTGAAGCTTACTAGTTGGGCATTTTCTTGCCAATGCAATGTACTTCCACAATCAATCGTGGTGGATGACTTTTGTCGTCTGTTAGACTGCCTGTCCTTATGGATCTTATAAGCCACATTACTGATTCTTTTGACTACTGCATAGATCCATTCCCAACAACTACTTAACTTAGAAATTGATCCCTCTTGCAGCATGGATTGTACAGTGATGAAATATATATATACCGAATATCTATTACCCGCACATCATGTTGTGTAGATAATATTCACACTATGAGAGTGAAGTGACTGCTAATTTTCCTCTTGCTGGAACTTTATGACCACTTGCCTCATCTCGGAAATAAATTTTCTACATATCATTACAAGATCGGGTACGAACAACTATAGCTGTAGAAGCAATATAACCCTTACCATCAATCAGTTAAACCATTGATATGTGGGCTGTCTTTTAAAATAATGCACTCCTTATTTGAATTTAAGCCTAATTCACATATCCTATTCCACTATGGCATCAATGTATTAGTCGCATCCCAATGAAATCAATATTTTAGTAACTGGTAAGATAACCGGCTAAATCTTTTTACGTCTTTCGTACCCTTGATTAAGGTCTCTTTTTTCTTTTGTTGCTAAACTTTGTTTTATAAACTTGCTTGTGGCGTGAAACTACAAATTTGTTTGATACAACGGCTACTAATGACTGGTATTCTTTACGATTCTATGTTGAAAGTATACATAATGTTGTTAAAGTTGGTCTTTTTAAACGTACAGCGAGGTAAATAACCTATTATTCACTACTCCATACATTCAAATTGGAAATTATATCATAGTGTGTCTCTTATGATACCTTTTCATAATCTGTTAGTTTCTTGATTAGGCAGTGTCGTTGAACTGGCCTGGTAAATTCCGAGACTTGATGGAGTGTTCCGGGAAAGCCATGCAGTTCTAAAGATCACAGCAGTAGTGGTAACAGGTGTAGACCAGAGGGGTTTTCCTGTTCATTATGGAATAGCCATGGTTTAAGGTGTCTGAAGCTGGAATAGTTGTAGATAGGTGAAGAGATGTGTGAATGGTTTGATCCTTGAATTGGCTCTTTCAGTTTCTAGATGCTTTATTCTGACGTTGATGCCCTCTTTCCTTTCCATTTCCCACAGTTTCTTCGATCTTACTATTGTCATCTTCTTATAATTATCCACTCTTGTTTTTATAATATTTATGCACATATTGATATACTTTTTTCTTCTTCAATTTTATTTTGTTATAATAATTCTGTACATTTACTATGGCTTCTTCGATCAAGCTGATTTTGGTTCTTAATTCTTCTATAAATCTCATGTCTCATTTTTGTAATTCCTCTCTCAAATTCCTGCCACTTTCTTTTTCAGCTTCTATTTTTTTCTCTCTCTGTAATTTCCTATTCACGTTCCCCATGCAGGTCCGTGATAAGTTTACGGACTAACAACGTCAAAATCCGGGGTTAGATCCCCGCGTAAGGCAGAATGCAGATAACTCCTTGTGTAAGAATACAACAACCTGTTATGTTCTTTTAATTTTTATGTCTCTTTCTTCTAAATGTTCTTTTAATTCTTAATTTTTTCTAATTTTCTGTCTTTCTCTTCTTTATTTAATTCTTTCTTTTTTTTTCTTGATAATCTTTCCACAGTTTCATTGTTTCCAGAAAATTTTTGATCTCGCTTGGAGCACGTGACATCTTAAGGTTCAATCTTCTACGAAAGCCCGTAGGGGACATTTATTTAGTTTTTATTTCAACCATTTTTTTTTACAGACAGTTGTAATCTTGATCTTATTTTATTTTTACGAAAATAATTTCATTCCTGAAATCAGTGTTGTAACTATTTCTATTGTTGGGCGTTATTATTATTGGATAAAATATAATGTACAGTCCACTTTGTGATAACAAAAGCGCTTTATTTCACCCATTACGGACTCAATAATCAATGAACCATTTCTTCTAATCTCGCTTAACACAAGTTTTATATCGTTTAAATTATTCTAGTCATTAAGTTAAGCGCACATCACATGACTCTAGTCAAAAACAATAAAAACGTCCAAATTAAACAAATATCATAGCCTTCAGCAATATCATTAATATTTTACTTTTGATCGTTAAATCATAAGTTTATTTGTTATATTTTATATTATTAATAAAATGGCCCGGCATGGCCAGGTGGTTAGGGAGCTTGACTCGCAACCTGCGGGTCGTGGGTTCGAATCCCCGTCCCATCAAACATGTTCGCCCTTTCAGCCGTGGGGACGTTATAATGTTACGGTCAATCCCGCTATTCGTTGGTAAAAGAGTTGGCGGTGGGTGGTGATGACTAGCTGCCTTCCCTCTAGTCTTACATTGCTAAATTAGGGACGGCTAGCGCAGATAGCCCTTGTGTAGCTTTGCACGAAATTCATAACAAACTTATTAAACTTTGCAATCGATGAACGAGCATTAAAAGCAGAGGAACTGCAGGCCGATTCGTTCATGTTAGTTTGACATTTTGAAAATATACATCAATCGAAACTACTGATCCCAGAAAAAAAAGAGTAAAATTATGCTTGTTAAAACTACTCTCGAGGATTGATGTTTTACAATTATAACAGTGATCTAAATTACAGTTTTCGTTATTTCTTATTTTTACAGAAAATTATGTATTTTGCTTTTCTGAAATTGCCCCCAGTGGCAAAGCAGTATGTCCGCGGACTTACAACGCTAGAAACCGGATTTCGATACCCGTGTTGGGTAGAGCACAGATATCCCACTGTGTTGCTTTGTGCTTAATTTCAAACAAACATTTTCTGGTATTAAAAAGTTTATTCCATGAAATGTTATTTTCGAGTGTTCGAAAAGTTTGGTGGATTTCGCGCATAGTTTTTCGAAGGCTGTCAGAATTAGCTATCCCAAACACTATTGGGCTACACTTTACTAACGAATAGTATGATTGACCGTTATATTATAATGCCCTCACAGTTGAAAGAGCGATTAAGTTCAGTGAAGAGATTCGAACCAGCGACATTCAGGTTATGAATCGATCACCCCTAACCATCAGACCATTCCAGGCTGTTCTAAAAAAAATCCTTTTATTCTTAACTATAAAATTAAGTACTGTAAAAAAGGAACTATTTCATTTAATTGATAAATATAACAATGATATAGGAGGTAATAATCTTGCTTACCCTTGCAGAAATAGAAGACGTCGGTTTCTCCATTAAGTTCCAAAGAAATTTTCTATGTCTGGTACACCTTCCTTCTTCAAATATTTCATCTTCTTCTTGGTCGTCCATAAGTTCCTCTTCTAGCTCTGCTTGAATATATTCTTTTTTCTGGTTGTACCTATGCAAGCAGCAAGGTTCCAGATAATTTACATCTATTTCCCAATAATTCAGATCATCTTTGAACGACTCCACACATATTTCGTCCACCAAGTGGAGACTTCCTGTGCGATAAAAGTTTAGAATTGAGCTGAAAGTACCAGGATGACGATCGAAGAAAAATTCACGTTCTTCGTAATCGTAATCATCACATAGTTTCATTACTTCTGTAATGTTTTTACACTGTCTTAGACGACCTAGCCGGCTATGTGGAAGTCTGTCCAATGTGCGACCCAAAACTTGATGCTTAATTCCACCAACATTCAAGCTGATACGTCGGCCCCAGTTATCTTTTATAGTGGGAATAATTTGGTAATTTGGAGGTAATGATGACCAAGAATGTGAAGGTACATTGCCATTTTGGAGTTTACAGGTGGTTTGTAGAGATTCACTAAAAGATCGTGATTGAAGCTGGTCATTCATTGGTGCTGTAACCCGACGGTGTTTTGATTCATCGCGAACGCCTATATCTATCTGATGAGGCGTCATTTCGGTTTGGTATATCATCAAACCTGTAATAAACACAAAACATAAAAACATGAATCATTAGCATCTTCGAAAAAAATGTTCAGTTAATTTTGTGTTTATGTGACATCAGACACATCCAAGCATTTATACTAGTTGTTTATGTCAGAATTTCGCACATAGCTATACAAGGGTATATCTGCGCAATATTCAGTTAATTTTGTGTTTATGTGACATCAAACACATGCAAGCATTTTTACTAGTTCTTTATGTTAGAATTTCGCACATAGCTATACAAGGGTATATCTGCGCAATATTCAGTTAATTTTGTGTTTATGTGACATCAGACACATCCAAGCATTTATACTTGTTGTTTATGTTAGAATTTCGCACCTAGCTATACAAGGGTATATCTGCGCATAGCCGTCTAATTTTGAAATGATAGTTTACAGAAGGAAGGCAGCTAATCAACAGCGCCCATGAATAATTCTGGGCTACTTTTCTTTGACCATCACTCTATAACTCATCCACAGCCCCCCAAAGTGGCAGCGAACCCTTTACCTGTACTTGGAGTTTACAGGAATGGTTATATTATCATTCATGTATTTATATATAAAAGAGAAAAGCTGAACAATACGTTTACAACTCGATACAATGATTCCGTCGTGTTCTTTTTGTTGTACATCTCTTTCATTTCTTGGTCTAAGTTTCCAATGAAAACACTTGTTCAATAGCAATGTTTCAACAACGTAGTTTTATCATTATTTACTGGTGGTAGACAGACCTCGTTTTTATCTGAATCATTAAAGTAAACCTGTTCTCCTTCCTTTCATAGAATAGGTTTGTATTCTGCAAAAGAAAAAACGCACGTTAAAGAGATCATGAACTTGAACTCCGTGGATTTTTACAAACTACCAACAACTGTTGAAAATTTATTATTTTTAAAGGGAGTTTAATTAATTTCAGATGATTCTTTGGTTCGAAGCACTCTCTCTTTTTCAATCTATGAAAGAACTTTTACTCGTTTTATAAGCAGCTTTTTAAGATGCTCGATCAGCTTTTTTTCATTGAGTTTTACGTTTTATTCTAACACATTTCAAAACCTTTCATTTGACACGTACACAAATCCCACTCTTCCAAACGGGTTATGGTAAACAAACATTAAAACTTTATGTATTATGGGGTATAGCAAGCATATCATACCTGGTCGATTTTAATTAAGGAATGTTACCTTTATACGTTGATAGCAACGTTTTTTATCTTGACACACATTCACATTATTTTCTACATTTGTTAAGTTAACTTTCTTAGTTAATTTTAAGGTGCTTTAGAAGCACCTTAAAATTAGCTAAGTAAATTAACTCTCCCACAGTGATAAGATCACTGTGGGAGAGTTAATTTTCTTAGCTAATTTTAAGGTGCTTTAGATCACTGTGGGAGAATTAATTTACTTAGCTAATTTTAAGGTGCTTTAGATCACTGTGGGAGAATTAATTTACTTAGCTAATTCTAAGGTGCTTTAGATCACTGTGGGAGAATTAATTTACTTAGCTAATTTTAAGGTGCTTTAGATCACTGTGGGAGAATTAATCTTCTTAGTAATTTTAAGGTGCTTTAGATCACTGTGGGAGAATTAATTTTCTTAGTTAATTTTAAGGTGCTTTAGATCACTGTGGGAGCAAGCGAAGGAAAACATATTAGAAGAATAATCCGAAGAATTTGCAAGCTATTTGCCATGTATAGATTTCTATAACATTTATTATACACGCAAAACTATTAAAAAGACAAACAAGGAATTAAACGCTTTTGCAATGTGCTCTAGTTTTGGGAAATATATTCATATTCATTTCGTAGAAAATGATGTAATGAAACCAGCTATTATATATAGTGCCGCTTTAAAAAAATTAAATTAATTACGGGCCTATTTCCTGACAACTCAGTATTAAGCTAGCTTACGTGTATAACGCTTGATATCGCTATAGGTTCTTCCTTGAGAGAAGGTTTAGATAGGGAAGAGTATATACGTGAAAGGCGTTGTTAATGGATTACAGCTGTTTAGGAAGTTCGAAGACAGATGCAGTCCATTAACAACGCCTTTCAAGTGTTACTATAGGTAACTATGAAACAGAGTTGAACAGAGATTGGAATGAAAGAAAAGCCTACCTTGTGGTAGCAAATTTGTTGTGTTTACATAGAAATGTGTAAAGCAATAAAACCAGCGGTTCTCTCTGTAGCAGCAAACTTATGTACTTTAATTCATATATATATATTCCTTGCTATATTATTGCTCCCCCTCCAGTGGCACAGCGGCATGTCTGCGGACTTACAACGCTAGAAACCGGGTTTCGATACCTGTAGTGGGCAGAGCACAGACAGCTCACTGTGTAGCTTTGAGCTTAACTGCGAACAAACAAACAAGTTACATTATTATTAATTTATAGCAAAAATTCGAATAAAATTATTTATACATTCTGAGAATTTATTATTGAGTCTATTACATGCAAGCTAGGATATATTATTGAGTCTATTACACGCAAGCTAGGATATACTATTGAGTTTATTACATGCAAGCTAGGATATATTATTGAGTCTTTTATACGCAAAGTAGGATATATTATTGAGTCTATTACATGCAAGCTAGGATATATTATTGAATCTATTACATGCAAGCTAGGATATATTATTGAGTCTATTACATACAAGCTAGGATATATTATTGAGTCTATTACATGCAAGCTAGGATATATTATTGAGTCTATTACATGCAAGCTAGGATATATTATTGAGTCTATTACATACAAGCTAGGATATATTATTGAGTCTATTACATGCAAGCTAGGATATATTATTGAGTCTATTACATACAAGCTAGGATATATTATTGAGTCTATTACATGCAAGCTAGGATATATTATTGAGTCTATTACATACAAGCTTTATACAAATTATTATTATCATTGAACAACTACTAGACGGAATGATAATACTTACAAATGACGCCAAAACCAACCAAACAAAGATAACTGGCAAATTAATAGATTTAAAGAATATAGTTCTTTCAAAAGATAAAATTGTTCTTCTTCAAGTGTGAATTTATTTATAAATTTACCCATGAAGTAGAGAGAGAGAAGTTTGTACCTTCCGAAAGCATTCGACTCATAAAGGTTTCCAAAAACATTCTTCCAACTTTTACAAGGACCATATAACTATAAACTAAGAAAATATAGTTTTAAGTGTCAGTAAGTTAATAGTAAGCTCTCTATAGTCTTGAAATGATTTACTAACGTTGTAACACACATTTAAAATTCACATTATCTACTTAAGAGATTATAGTGTTTTTGAAGATGTATCCATGCGCGCTACCTTTTTTTTTTTAGTGCTTCACTCTATTATTTTTCAGCAGAATTGTGTTAAAATAGTATTTTAAACCTTGAGAGCCAGTTCACACACCCACTCTTCAATACAATGTTGTGCTGGTTGACTTTACTCAAGGTAAGAAGTAAACTCTTGTTAATTGTTCAAGGCCATATTGCAGTACTCCAGGATGCGGGCGGTATTATACTGAGGGTTGACTACATTACATTGAAATTATCTTTAATATGTAAATCACGTGATAGCCACAACTGATTTAAAATCACGGTGGAACGAATTGTATGAGAACTACATTTTAACATTGGTGTAACATGGGTACTGGATAAGTTCTCTAAATGGAAGATACGGTTATTGGAAAAACAATGGTTGGATTTACGTTCAAGAATAAGAAACAGGTTGGAGACAATATGTGATACACAAGGACAAAACGTTTTATTTTTATTTTATTAATTATTTAATTTAAATATTTCCCTATCTTAAAAATTGTAAATCTACGATCTGCATACGTGTGTATGAATATTTTGCTTCGGAAAGGACTTTCACATACTCTTTTCAAAAGCGATCAATTTTAGTTGCCATCGTAATATAGCTTCAAAAGTATTTTTAATTCACCTGAGAATATCACAGATTGGATAAACAAAGAAAAATTTTGGTCTCATGACTCGAGTTACTGGTTTATTGTGGACTTTGCTGTTTTATTACTGGAGTGCATTTAAACTTGAACTTCTTGTATTAAAAACGTTTAAAAGGACTTTTTAGTTTTTAGATGGCATTTTTAACAGCAAAAAGCATGTATGACCTACAGGGAGAGTTGATCACTAATGGTAACTGGCCATTTGAGAGAGCAGTCATGTCTAGGATAAGTCTATTCTTGAATGCTGGACTTTTACCGCTGCTCCAAAGATTCATCACTGCAATCCTATTATAGCCCATGACTCAGGGATAACTTTCAGAATTTTTTATACCTAGATCATTTACCGAAACGTTCTGAAGGTCACAAAGAGAGGAGTCTGTATAGGACACCTAGACAAATACCAGCCAGAATATAGCCTCAGCCCTGGTCGCAACACCAAAAGAAGGACTGGAGGTACTATTGGTTGACACTATCTACCAATCTTTGTCCTCTTTTCAGCAGATGAAACAGTGGTTATTGAGTGGATGTAAATGTGATCCATGGAAGATCTTGGGGTTTGACTGAGATCAGAAGTGAGCTACAATACACAAATCGTCCATCTGTCCCCCAAATCAGGAGTCCTCCACGTGTAGGAGTGTAGGGACACCTGAACGCTTATCACGCAGAGCCAATGACGTCGAGAATCTCGCGATCAGGTGATGATCGAAAGGCTGCCAGTGAGATTGTTTTATTGCTCCCACAGGTCCTTGTGAGGGAAGCTAAACAAATTACTCTTTCGACATTCAAAGTCTCAGCAAAGGAGGATATACAGCAGCTGTTGAAATGTTTCAGGCTTAAAATGTCTTGACTCGTATGAAAGAGGCTAAACATCCCGTGTTCAATCCGGATAGTCCACTCTCGACTCGATTCAGTACCTATAAATACCTCGTCTTCAATCCGAACAGTCCACTCTGGATTCGATTCAGTACCTATAAACACCTCGTGCTCAATCCGGACAGTCCACTCTGGATTCGATTCAGTACCTATAAACACCTCGT